CCCTCCTCCTTAAAACAACAACAACAAAAAACACAGGTTCGTCACTACACTACTTTATATTTTGTTAATAGGCCTACTTTACATTCTCATCCATATTTCTTTTAAGTAGGCCTACATCCCAACCCTCCCTCCCTTAAAAACAACAACAACAAAAAACACAGGTTCGTCACTACACTACTTTAATATTTTAATAGGCCACTTTCCATTCTCATCCATACATCTCTTTTAAGTAGGCCTACATCCCAACCCTCCTTCCCTTCTAAAAAAATCTCCTCACAGATTCTCCACTACACATCACATATACTTTATATTTTTATTTATATTTTCAATAGGTCTAGTCCAATACTTATCCTCATATTTCATTTAAGTAGGCCTACATCCCAACCCTCCTTCCCTTCTAAAAAAAATCCTACAGGTTCGCCACTACACATCACGTATACTTTATATTTTCATTTATATTTTGTTAATAGGCCTACTTTACATTCTCATCCATACATCTCTTTTAAGTAGGCCTACATCCCAACCCTCCTTCCTTTAAAACAAACAAACAAACAACAACAAAAAACACAGGTTCGTCACTACACATCACTTATACTTTATATTTTCATTTATATTTTGTTAATAGGCCTACTTTCATTCTTATCCATATTTCTCTTATACGTAGGCCTACATCCCAACCCTCCTCCCTTAAAAACAACAACAACAACAAAAAACACAGGTTCGTCACTACACATCACTTATACTTTATGTTTTCATTTATATTTTGTTAATAGGCCTACTTTACATTCTCATCCATACATCTCTTTTAAGTAGGCCTACATCCCAACCCTCCTTCCCTTCTAAAAAAAAAATCCTACAGGTTCACCACTACACATTACGTATATTTTATACTTTTATTTATATTTTCAATAGGTCTAGTCCAATTCTTATTAAGTAGGCCTACATCCCAACCCTCCTTCCCTTCTAAAAAAAAAAAAAATCCTACAGGTTCACCACTACACCAACCTAAAAGGACCCACAGCAGACGACGTGAAACAAATGCTGGAAAAATTGGTGGTCGTCAAGCTCAACGGCGGTCTGGGTACCTCCATGGGCTGCACCGGACCCAAGTCGATCATTCCCGTCCGTTCTGATCTGACCTTCCTTGACCTCACAGTGCAGCAGATAGAGGTGAGGGATGAGAGGTCTGATGGGGGTAGAGAAAGAAGAGAGAGAGAGGGAACGGAAGAGGAAGGGAGGAGGGGGCGATAGGTAGATAGACAGGTATATAAGTGTGTGTGTGTGTGTGTGTGTGTGTGTGTGTGTGTGTGTGTACATACATACATATATATATATATATATATATATATATATATATATATATAGAGAGAGAGAGAGAGAGAGAGAGAGAGAGAGAAGGAGATTTAGACCGGAAATAGTGAGGATGGATTGAGAAAGAGGCGAAGGAAGAGGAGAAGAATGGACGAGACAGACAAAGTGAGACGGAAAATGAGGTTAGCAGAATGTGTGATTGTGAAAACTGCGAAAATGTTTAGCAAATGGAGTAAATTCCGAGAAATATAGATAGGGCGAGAGGAAATTGTAGAAAGAAATGAAGAATGATGATAATATTGATAACAAATAATAAAAAATAACAGATGATAATAATAATAACGATAATATTCACGGCAACAACAATAATTCAACCACTATGATAACCATAACATCATTTCTTATCAACATTATCAATACAGTTATTGATATTAATGATTACAACCCGTCATTCCTACCCTTTAGGCCCTCAACAAGACGTACAACTGTGAAGTTCCTTTAGTCCTTATGAACTCTTACAATACAGACGAAGACACACAGAAAGTCATTCGAAAATATCAAGGATTTAAGGTGAGGCGGATTCCAACATTATTACTATTTTTTCACAGTGATTTATATATTTGGTCGATTAGATATGGCCATTGAGAAATATGAAAGTATTTTTTATGACCATGAAAATATTTTAAGTTCGTTGATAAGGGAATTGTGGATTTCCTCTCACGTACATCTCACTAATAACAATGATGGTAATAATTCCTTTAATAGCATTGTATTTGCTTCAACAATACAATATTTTCGTCAACAATGCAATTTTCTTCCCCAAATAACAAAATTTCTTCCCCAAACAACGAAATTTCTTCTCCAAACAACGATTTTTTCCCCCAAACAACAAAATTTCTGCCCTAAACAACCCACTTCCTCCCCCAAACGACCCAATTCCCTACCATAACACATAAACAATGAATTTCCTCATCTAAAGAACCCGATTTCCTCCCCCAAACAGCCCATTTCCCTCCCCAAACAAGCTACTTCCTCCCCCAAACGACCAAATTCCCTGCCCTAACACACAAACACGGAATTTCCTCCAACAACCCATTTCCTCCCGCCCTCCCAAAGAACCCATTCCTCCCCAAACAACCCACTTCCTCCCAACAACCCATTTTCTCCCTAAACAACCCAATTCCCCCAAATAACCAATTTCCTCCCCCAACCCAATTCCCTTCCCTAACACACAAACAAGTAATTTCCTACCGTAAACACCCGCTTCCCCCCAAAACCCACTTCCCAAACAACCCACTTCCTCCCAAACAACCCAATTCCTCCCTAAACAACCCACTTCCTCCCCAAACAACCCCCTTCCCCCTAACAACCCATTTTCTCCCAAACACCCATTCCCGTAAACAACCTATTTCCTCCCCCAAACAACCCGCTTCCTCCCCTAAACAACCCAATCCCCCCAAATAACCCAATTTCCTCCCCCAAACCCAATTCCCTTCCCTAACACACAAACAACGTAATTTCCTCCCGTAAACAACCCGCTTTCCCCCCAAACAACCCACTTCCTCCCCCAAACAACCCACTTCCTCCCCCAAACGAACTTTTCCTCGTTCTACTTTCGTCGCCCCAAACAACCTACTTCCTCCCCAAACAACCTACTTCCTCCCCTAAACAACCCAATCCCCTCGTTCTCCTTCAGGTGAAGACCTACACCTTCAACCAGTCCCGATATCCTCGCATCCAGAAGGAATCTCTGATGCCGATTCCCCAGTCCTGTGTGGGCGAGGATGATCCTGAAGGGTAGGTTAAGGTTGTTTGTTTGTTTGGGATTTGTTTGGTTTGTTTATTATGTTGTTTGTGTATGTTTGGTTACTCATTCATGTGGTTTGTTTGGTTTGTGTATTCAGTTGTTTATGTTTGTGTTTGTTTACTTGTTCATTTGCTGGTCTAATAATTAGTCTTTTCCTGAAGGGTAGGTTAAGGTTGTTTGTTTGTTTGTATTGTGGTTTATTTATTCAGTTGTTTCTGTTTGTATTTGTTTATTCATTTGCTGGTTTAATAATTAGCTTGTTCCAGAAGGGTAGGTTAAGTTGTTTGGATTGTGGTTTGTTTGGTTTGTGTATTCAATTGTTTGTTTATTCTTATGTATTTATCTTTGTATATATTTGTTTATTTGTGTGTATTTATCTTTGCACACACACACAGTATATATATATATATATATATATATATATATATATATATATATATATATATATATATATATATATGTGTGTGTGTGTGTGTGTGTGTGTGTGTGTGTGTGTGTGTTTATTTTGTATGTATTTATCTTAATATATATTTCTTAGTTTATTCAATTATTGTGAACAGTCGCACTCTATCGGAAATACACATGGTGAAATTTGTCAGTGATAGAGAATTAATAAATTAAAGAATGTACTTTATAGGACGTCTTTCCTTCAGATGGTATCCTCCAGGACATGGTGACTTCTACATGTCCTTTTTGAACTCTGGTCTTCTGAAGGAGTTTCTTGCAACAGGTAAAGGGCTGGGAGGGCACGCACACACACGCACATACACGCACGCACGCACACTCACACATACACTCACACACGCACGCACACACACACACACACGCACACCACAGCACACACACACATTCACATTCACACGCACGCACACTCACAATTCACACACACACATATATATTTATCTATTTACACAAGACTTTTTATAGCATTGACATTTGGAGTAACAATACAAAGACAAAGGATAAACTAACGCTTTTATTTCTTACTTAATGTCATTATGTCCAAATTCTTCTCAGAGAGAGAGAGAGAGAGAGAGAGAGAGAGAGAGAGAGAGAGAGAGAGAGAGAGAGAGAGAGAGAGAGAGAGAGAGAGAGAGAGAGAGAGAGAGAGAGAGAGAAACAAAAAACAATTGCAAAACACACGTACATTGAACATACACAATACGGCAATAATCACAGATCTTATTCATAAAGCATTTCCCTTCCTTTTAGAATCAAAAACAAAAAATATAAAGAATCCGATCCTCTAAATAACTTAGGATAATAAACATGAAACCTCTAAAGGTGCTGTCACACTAGCGCTTTTTCCGTCAATTTTTTGACAATTTTATTTAACATAAATACAAACATTCTCGAATATAGCTCTTGATTTGACTATGTTTGGCTGAAAAAGTTGACGGAAAGGTTTTCAGTTGGAAACGATCATTATCGTCTGACTGGAAAATCGACAATTCGCTCAAAAATGGACAAAATTTCAGAAAATTGTAAAAAAAAAAAAAAATTGACGGAAAAAGTCCTAGTGTGACAGCACCTTAATGCGCATTTTCTTGTCGGTGTTTCAACTGACAGATATATTACTGATAAGTAATTTTATCTGAAGCTCCTTAGTAACGAGCGACAAACAATAAAATGACTTAGATAAAACGTCATATATTGAGTTGTTCATATACTCAGACATGTCAAAGTTTTTTTTTTTTTTTTTTTTTTGCCTGGCAACAACACAATAAAAATTAATGATGATAAAAACATTATGATAGTGATAATTTTGATATTATTGTTCCGATTGTTGTTATTCAGTTAAGATTACGTAATTTAATGGGGCGGTATTTATACGTAATTTAATGGGTCAGAAAAGTAGTATTTATTGATCTTTTTTATCTAAGTATAAAATGCTCAGATATTTAATTCCTCAACTTTCCTCTTCTAATTCTACTCAATAACGACAAAGAAACAAGATCAAAGCAAAAACTAAAACTACTGAAGCGAAATAACAATAATAAAAAAAATAAAATTAAAATAAATAAGCAACATCGCTAACCCCTCACCACCATCCCACTCAATCTTTACCTTCTTCCTTTTCCCCAACATCTCTCTCTCCGTCTCCCCCACCACACACCACCCCAACACCTCCTTCTTTCTCTCTCCCAAATCACCCATCACCATCTCTCCCTCCCCACACCCTATCCTACCCCCCACTCACCACCTCACCTCCCCCCCCACCACCACCACCCCCTCTTCACCCTTCCTTCCCATCCACCACACCCAACACTCCTTCTTTCTCTCTCCCCAAATCACCATCACCATCTCCACCTCCCTCCCCCACCCTATCCACCCCCCCCCACTCACCACCTCCACCTCCCCCCCACCACCCCCTCCTTCACCCTCTTCCCTCTCCCCCTCCACCACCACACCCAACACCTCCTTCTTTTCTCTCTCCCCAATCCCCCATCCGCATCTCCACTCCCTCCCCCACACCCTATCCTCCCCCCCACTCACCACCTCCACCGTCCTCTCCCCACACCACCACCAACAATCTCTCCACATCACCTCATCATCTCCACCTCCTCCCGACACCCTATCCTACCCACCCACCACCACCACTCTCCCCCACCCACCACCACCTCCACCTCCTTTCCCTTCTCTCTCCCACCCCACCCCCACCTCCTCCCCCTTCCCCCACCACCACCCTCCTTCACCCTCTTCCCTCCCCCACCACCCCTCCACCCCCTTCCCTCTCCCACCCACCTCCCCACCACCACCACCCCCACTCTCCCCACCCACCACCATCACCCCCTCCTTCACCCTCCCCTTCGCTCTCCCCACCCACCCACCTCCACCTCCTTCCCTCTCCCCCACCCACCACCACCACCCCCTCCACCCCTCCTACCCCACCTCTCTCTAACCCCCCCACCCACCACCTCCACCTCCCACCACCACCCCCTCCTTCACCCTCTTCCCCTCGCCAACAGGGGAAAGAATACGTTTTCCTCAGCAACATAGACAACCTCGGTGCTACGGTTGACCTCAACATCTTGAACTTCTTGCTGGGCGGAGACACACAAGGTCATTGCGAATTCCTGATGGAGGTCACGGACAAGACGAGAGCGGATGTGAAGGTCAGTGAAGTGTAATTATGTTGATAAATGTGTCAAAAATATGAAAAGAAGGAAGGGAAACGGAGAGGTGAGGTCTTGAGGGAGAGTGAGTGTAAAGAAACAAAAAAATGCAAGAGATGTGGTTCTTATCATTATTATTTTTATTTGTGGTTTTATATAAGTTTGAATGATTACTAAAGAAAGTGGATAGATATAGATTATAAGATAGACGGTTCTTATCACAATTTTTTTTGCTAGTTGTAGATTATCGAAGTCTATATCGTTACTCGAAAATAGAATGGATAAATATATATGGTTCCAAATCAGTAAGTTTTTTCATCATTAACTTGCATTTTCAAATAGAAAAAGGATAAAGTAAGAAAACAAATTTCTTAATTTTTTCTTTCCTCTCTGTCTGCCTGTTTCTCTCTTTCTCCCTCTTCTCCCCCCCCTCTCTCTCCTTCTCTCTCCTCTCCCTCTCTCACTCCTCTCACCCCCCCTCTCTCTCACCAACAGGGCGGCACCCTCATTCACTACGAGAACAAACTACGGCTTTTGGAGATAGCACAGGTTCCCAAAGACCACGTGGACGATTTTAAGTCAGTGAAAACCTTTAAGATCTTCAACACCAACAACTTGTGGATTAAGTTGGATGGTTAGATGAATATACGTTTTTTTTTGTTTGGTCGTTTGTGGGTGAGAGGGTTGTGTGAGTGTGTGTGTGTGTGTGTGTGTGTGTGTGTTGTGTGTGTGTGTGTGTGTGTGTGTGTGTGTGTGTGTGTGTGTGTGTGTGTGTGTGTGTGTGTATGTGTGTGCAGAGATATTGTTCTACTCTTATATTGTCGATAAACCTATGGATTAGCGATGCTTCGTAAATCGTATTTTTCCCCCATAAACATAAAAAACAACAAAGGAAATGCCATAAAAATTATTTAAAGAAAACGAAATTTGAAGCTGCATTTGAAGGGGTAACTATTATATGAACACATCCAACGTTCGCGATAATGCTTATAATATGAATTGAGAAGGAAGAAGTGCTCAGAAAATATATCAAAATAAATCAAACAAATTAATTAAATTTATTACGAATGTTCCAGTCTCATTCATACACTTTTTCAAAATGTTTCGTGAAAAATCTGCAGAAGTCTTTAGCATTCACCACCACCAGAGGAGGAGGAGATGCGCTGATAAAACATTGTCGCATCTAATTATCAGCGTAGATATCTGTTTATGTATGCGTGTTGTTAATTTGCAGAATACGCTATTATCTTACCTTTCTCCTTCTCTCCTTTCATAGTGTCTCTTCCATACCAGCCTTCCTTTCTCTGCGTCTGTCTGTTTCTCTGTCTCTCTCTCTCTCCATATGTGTGTATATATGTATGTATATATATATATATATATATATATATATACACACACACACACACACACACACACACACACACACACACACACACACACACAAAGCAGAGGGACCAGATGAAATTTCTAACTGGGTTCTTAGGGAATGTGTCGAAGAGCTGTGTACTCCTTTATTGTTAATATTTCAAAATTCACTAAGACAAGGTAAACTATCAAAAAGTTGGAATTCGCAAATGTTACACCCTTATATAAGAGCGGCGACAAACAAAACCCACTAAATTATAGACCAGTTTCATTAAACTAGTGTAGTATGCAAACTGCTAGAAAGAATAATTAGAAAACAATGGGTTGAAATGCTTGAAAAATACGAAATGATATCAAATAAACAATTTGGTTTTAGAGAAGGAAGGTCGTGTGTAACAAATCTCTGTTTTTAATAGAGTATCTGAAATATTACAAGAAAGAGACGGATGGGTGGATTGTGTGTATTTAGACTTTAAGAAGGCTTTTGATAAGGTGTCTCATAGAAGACTACTATGGAAACTAGAGCACCTAGGTGGCGTGAAAGGTAACCTACTCGCATGGATGAAAGACTTTCTTCATGAAAGACAAATGAGCACAGTAATTAGAGGAAAGCATTCTACATGGCGACGGGTAACCAGCGGAGTGCCTCAAGGATCGGTGTTGGCGCCAATTATGTTTACCATTTTCGTCAATGATTTAGAGTCAAAACATAAGCCCAGGTAGTTATCTGAATATGTTTGCAGATGACGCAAAGATACAAAAGAGGGTAACAGACAACGTCTCATGCCAATGCCTCCAAAGTGACATCGAGAACTTATTCACGTGGAGTTGTACATGGAAAATGGAATTCAATACCAATAAATGCCACGTAGTCAGATTTGGAGAAAGTAGAAATCGCCCAATATTCCAATACAAATTAGGGGACGCAGTATTAGACACAGCTGACAGGGAAAAAGATCTTGGGATAATCATAAATAGAAACCTAAATCCAAATGACCATATAAATGAAAAGGTCCACAAAATGTTAGGACTGATTGCCAACATGAAGAGGGCATTCGTGTATGTGGACGAAGATATGGTAAAGAAGATTATTAAAGTAATCATAAGACCAGCTCTTGAGTACGGGTGCAGTGGTATGGAGTCCACACTTGAAAAAAGATATTGACAAACTGGAAAGAGTCCAAAGAGCGGCGACAAGATGGGCACCTACCCTAAGAGATCTGAGTTACGAAGACAGACTACAAAAAATAGGACTTATAACCTTGGAAGAAAGAAGGAAAAGGGGGATATGATTATGCTTTTCAACTGCATTACAGGAAGAGTGAAGATAGATAAGGATGACTTTTTGATCTTGAACACAAGAAGAACGAGAGGACACAACAAAAAGTTGAAAGTAAAAAGAGGTGATAAAGATGTCAAAAAATATAGTTTCCCAAACGGAATTATTGAATCGTGGAACAGTCTCCCAATCAAGTAGTGTGTGCCAAAACTGTACATCAATTTTAAAAGTTATAATGATAATTTAAATATAGCAGACGGACCACCTGAGCATAGCTCTTCTCCCGTATCCAAACAACTAGGTAAGAACACACACACACACACACACACACACACACACACACACACACACACACATATATATTATGTATATATATATATATATATATATATATATATATGTGTGTGTGTGTGTGTGTGTGTGTGTGTGTGTGTGTGTGTGTGTGTGTGTGTGTGTATGTAAGTATATATATATATGTACATACACACATACATGTATATATATACATATATATATATGTATATATATATATATATATATATATATATATATGTATATATATATATATATATATATATATATATATATATATATATATATATATATATATATATATATATATATATATATATATATATATATATGCATACACAAATATATATGTATACACACACACACACACACACACACACACACACATATATATATATATATATATATATATATATATATATATATATATATATATATATATATATGTGTGTGTAGATCGATAAATAGACAGATTGATTGATAGATGGATAATAAATAGATACAAATACACTGAAACAAAGACCACACTCACCTCCCCAAACCCAATGTCTGTGTTCTGTCTCGATTCCTCTGTGAATATTTCCTTCTCTTTTTATAAACACGTTTCTCGAAGGTTAGATCCGTGTTGGAAGTAATGTTACTGCTAACACGATGATATATGCGGTGCTTATAAAGGCAATGACTGAATACATTGTTTTTACGGCATATGCATAGGAATTACTATTAGTATCATTATTATTATTATTTATTTTTACTTGGATATTGAAGATGTGTATGTAAGCTGAGGTTAGGTGAGGTAAATGATGTTAATATTTGTTAAGTATGTTTTTTTTTTTTTTAATCTGATGGATGTGTATTATGGAAAAGGTCGAAAGATTTTGGGAAAAAGATTAGTATCTGCGGTACTCCAAAGAGATTGGACATGATGGAATTGCTGCAAACAGTGAATGTTACACACATGAATTACACACACACACACACACACACACACACACACACACAGCTCCTCATCCCACCCCAATCCCTCCCCTCCACACTCTCCCAATCATCTCTCACCTCTATCAGTCCTCTACCAATCTCCAGCCTAATCATCTACCAATCTTTACCTATCCTCTACCAGTCTAAACCTAATCTACTAATTTTCAACCTAATCCTCTACCAATCTAACCTAATCTACCAGTCTTCCACCTAGTCCTCTACTAATCTGCAACCTAATCCTCCACCGATCTCCTAACTAATCTCAACCAATCTTCCACCTAATCCCCAATCAATAGTTACCAATCCCCTCCCAATCTTCAACCTAATCCCCTCCCAAACTTCAACCTAATCCTATACCAATCTTTAACCGAATACTTTATCGATCACCTACCTAACCTTCCACCTAATCCCCTCCCACTCATCCACCTAATCCCCTCCACTCATCCACCTAATTCCCTCCCAATCTTCGCAATCATCCACCTAAACCCCTCTCACTCATCCACCTAATCCCCTTAATCCCTTCCACTCTCCTACCTAACCCCACCTAATCTCCACCAATCCCTCCAATCATCCACCTAATCCCCTCCCAACCTTCCACCTAACTCCCTCCCTAATCTTCTACACCTCCCCCTACCCAATCCCCTCCGAATCCTCCACCCAATCCCCACCTAATCCCCAATCTCTCTCTCTTCCAGCCATGGAGCGAATCCTGGCCGACGGTTCGATGGACATGGAGGTCATAGTCAACAACAAGACGCTGGGAAATGGGAGAAATATTATACAGCTAGAACAGGCAGTCGGCGCGGCGATCAAGTGCTTTAATGGGGCACTGGGTAGGGGTGGTCGTGTGGTTTTAGGGGTCGGTTGGATGGGGTTTGGAAGGGGGGGGGTGTTTGTTTTTTTTTTTGTTTTGTGTTGTGTTTTTTTTAAGGGTGGGGGGTGTTTTTTTGGTTTTTTTTTTTTTTTTTGGGGGGGGGTGTTTTTTTGTTGGATTTGTGTTTTTGTTGTTGTTTTTGAAGGGGAGGGGTGTTGTTGTGTTTGGTTTTTGGAATGTTATGTCTTTGTTTGTGGTTTTAGAGGGTGTTTGGAAGGGGTCTGATTTGTGTGTTTTTTGGGGTGAGGGGGTTGTATTTGGTTTTTATAATGTTCTGTCTTTGTTTGTGGTTTTATAAAGGGGTTTGTATTTTTTTTTTGGGTGTGTGTGGTTGATTTTTGAAATGTTCTGCTTTGTGGTTTTATGGTGTTTAGAAGGTGTTTGGAAGGTGTTTTGTTTGTGTTATTTTTTTCTGCTTTGTGTTTTATTTGTCTTTGTTGATAGTGTGTTTGTATTATGTAAGTTTATTTGTAAGTCGTTATTTTTTGTTTGTGTTTGTATTGATTAGGACGGGAAAAATCTATCTATTTATGTATCTTTCTATCTATACATATATTCGTATCTATAGAAATATAGAGATACAAAAATATATAGATTGATATATAAGGTGAGGAAGCCTTAGGTAATTTGAATGGTAGTCTTTGATTTTGTTTTTGTTTTTATTTAGTTATTGGTGAACTAGTTTGATTTTTTATGGTTTATTAAAAGTTTTTTGTTTGTTTTTATTTTAGGATTGTTTTTTATGTTGATTATTTATCTTGGATTTGTTTTTATCTTTCTTTTTTGTTTTTGTTTTGTTTTGTGAGGAAACTTTGATTTTTTTGTTTGTATTTGCTTTTAGGTTGTTGATAATGTTTTTTTTTTGTTTTTTAATCGTTTATATGTTTTCTAATTTGTTTTTGCTTGTTTTTGTCTGTTTTTCCTTTTCTTTTTGTCCTTGTTGAATCAATATTTTTTTATGATGCTTTATTATTGAAACTATTCTTAAAAAAAAAAAAAAAAAAAAAATGTATCCATCTACCTTTATTCCTCAAATCCTCCATCCCTCCTCCACCTCCCTTTATTCCCTAAATCCTCCATCCCTCCTCCATCTCCCTTTATTCCCTAAATCCTCCATCCCTCCTCCACTCCCCCTAAATCCTCCATCCCTCCTCCACCTCCTTTATTCATTAAATCCTCCATCCCTCCTCCACCTCCTTTATTCCCAAATCCTCCATCCCTCCTTCCCTTTATGCCCTAAATCCTCCATTCCCTCCACCTCCCTTTATTCGCCAAATCCTCCATCCCTCCTCCCATCTCCCTTTATTCCATAAATCCTCCATCCCTCCTCCATCTCCCTTTATTCATTAAATCCTCCATCCCTCCTCCATCTCCCTTTATTCCCCAAATCCTCCATCCCTCCTCCCATCTCCCTTTATTCCATAATTCTTTTTTTTTTTTTTTACTCCTCCAGGAATTAACGTCCCACGATCGAGGTTTCTGCCGGTAAAGAAAACGGAGGACCTCTTGCTTGTGATGAGTAACTTATATAATCTGAACCACGGCGCGCTGACGATGTCTTCTCTTCGACAATTCGACACCACGCCCCTCGTCAGGCTGGGCGGACCGCATTTCGGGAGCGTCCAGGTGGGTGGGGTGGGTGGGTGGGTTGGGTGTAGGTGTGGTTGGGTGGGTGGGCGTGTGGGTGGGTTAGGTGTAGTTGTGGGTGGATGGGTGTAGGTGTGGGTTTGGTGGGTGGGGGTGTGGGTGGGCTAGGTGTAGATGTGGGTTTGGTGGGTGGGCATGTGGGTGGGTTAGGTGTAGGTGTGGGTTTGGTGGGTGGGCGTGTGGGTGGGGTAGGTGTAGTTGTAGGTGATGGGTGTAGGTGTGGGTGAGGAGGGTGGGCGGTGTGGGTGGGTTAGGTGTTTGTAGTGGGTGGATGGGTTTGATGTGGACGAGTTTGGGCGGGCGTGTGGATAGATGAGGTGGATGTCTGGGTGTGTGGGTTTGGTGGGTGGGCGTGTGGGTGGGTTAGGTGTAGTAGTGGGTGGATGGGTTTGATGTGGGCGGGTTTGGGCGGGCGTGTGGATAGATGAGGTGGATGTGTGGGTTTGGTGGGTGGGCGTGTGGGTGGTTAGGTGTAGCAGTGAGTGGATGGGTTTGGTGTGGGGGGGTTTTGACGGGTGTGTGGGTGGTTGGGCGGATGTGTGGGTGGGTTTGGTGGGTGGCGTGTGGTGGGCAAAGTGCAGAAGTGGGCTAGATGCATGGGTGGGTGGAGTGGATTAAAATAGGGTGTTTGTATCCATCTATTTTTCTATTCTTGTTTATTGCTTATTTATACCTTATTATTCTTTTTATTCATTTTATTTTATTTATCTTTCCCATTCCGTTCCATCAGCTGTTTTCCTTTCTTTTTCTTAGTATAAAGGCTTAAACTCATACATCCTTTTAAATGGAGTTAATATCAATTAATGAATCTTGGCATTTTCGAAATATTTAAAGGAGTGTGACGTTCGAACTTTCAACTGATTTCGATTAATTATTTTGTGTTTGACTTGTAATTTTAAGATGTTAAGTAATGATATCACCCCTTCCTCCTTCTCCTCCTCCGCTTCCTCTCCTCGTCTCCTCCTCCTCCTCCGCCTCCGCCTCCTCTTCTCGTCCTCCACCACCACCCTCCTCCTCCTCCTCCTACACCTCCTCTCTCCACCCACCTCCTCTTCCTACTCTCCTCTCCACCACCACCACCACCATCTTCCTCCTCCTCCTCCCTCTCCACCACTACCATCCTCCTCCTCCTCCTCCTCCTCCCTCCCTCTCCACTCTCCCCCTCTCCTCCTACCCCCCCACCCACCTCCTCCCCTCTCCCCCCCCTCTCCACCCCTCCTCCTTCTCCACCACCTTCCTCCTTCCTCTCCTCCTCCTCCTTTCTTCCTCAGAACTTCCTGAATCGGTTCGCCTCCATCCCCGACATGCTGGAGCTGGACCACCTCTCGGTGTCCGGGGATGTCACCTTCGGGAGGCGCGTCGTGTTCAAGGTACGTCTGTCGGGACACTGTCTGTTTGTCTCTGTCTGTTTGTCTGTATGGCTGTATGGCTGTCTCTTTCTGTCTTGTCTGTCTGTCTGTCTGTCTTGTCTGTCTTGTCTGTCTGTCTTGTCTGTATGGCTGTCTGCTTTCTGTCTTGTCTGTATGGCTGTCTGTTTTGTCTGTATGGCTGTTCTTTCTGTCTTGTCTGTATGGCTGTCTGTTTGGTCTGTTGGCTGTCTCTTTCTGTCTGTCTGTCTGTCTGTCTGTTTGTCTGTATGGCTGTCTCTTTCTGTCTTGTCTGTCTGTCTGTCTCTTTCTTTGTCTGTTTGTCTCTTTTTTTTCTGTCTGTCTGTCTGTCTCTATCTCTGTCTTGTCTGTCTCTTTTTTTCTGTCTGTCTGTCTCTTTCTTTGTCTGTTTGTCTCTATCTCTGTCTGTCTGTCTCTATCTCTGTCTGTCTGTCTCTTTTTCTGTCTGTCTGTCTGTCTCTATCTTTCTGTCTGTCTCTTTTTCTGTCTGTCTGTCTGTCTGTCTCTTTCTTTGTCTGTCTGTCTCTTTTTTTTTTCTGTTGTCTGTCTGTCTGTCTGTCTCTTTCTTTGTCTGTCTGTCTCTTTTTCTGTCTGTCTGTCTGTCTCTCTCTTTGTCTGTCTGTCTGTCTCTCTCTGTCTGTCTGTCTATTTCTTTGTCTGTCTGTCTGTCTCTTTCTTTGTCTGTCTGTCTGTCTCTCTCTTTTTCTGTCTGTCTGTCCCTCTCCTCCTCTGTCTGTCTGTCTCTATCTCTTTCTCTAATTCAAAACTATCTTTAATCTTATCAACATTTTTGGTTTAGTAGGAATTAACCACGCATTCACCCCCCAAAAAACAAACAAACAAACAAACTAATGCAAAACTAACATTAATCTTTCACATTCAAAAAAAAAAACATTCAAAACTAACTTTCAACTTGTCAAGTTTTTTTTTTTTCACATTTCACCCCCAAAAACAATAACCATTCAAAACTAACTTTCATCTTGCCAACAGTCTTGTTCTTCAATTTCCACAAACAACAATAACTAATTCAAAACTAACTTTCAACTTGTCAAGTCTTGTTTTTTTCACGCATTTCACCCCCAAAAACAATAACTGATTCAAAACTAACTGTGATCTTGTCAACAGTCGTGAATTAAACATACATAAAGTCCCTAAAAACAAAAACTAATACAGAACTAACCTTAATCTTATAAACAGTTGTTTTTTTCGTGAATTAACCACACATCCACACCCCCTCAAAAAACATTCAAACCTAACTTTAATCACATCATTATCAAATCTTTAATACATCCACCCCTTTTCAACCCCTCTTTCTGTGTGTATTTCAGGGAACAGTCATCCACACCCCCTCAAAAACATTCAAACCTAACTTTAATCATATTAAAGTTATTAAAGTTACCACCCCCTTTTTTCAATCCCTCTTTCTGTCTTGATTCCAGGGAACACTCATCCACACCCCCTCAAAAACACTCAAACCTAACTTTAATCATATTAAAGTTATTTAAGTTACACCACCCCTTTTTTCAACACCCTTTCTGTGGGATTTCAGGAACAGTCATCCACACCCCCTCAAAAACACTCAAACCTAACTTTAATCATATTAAAGTTATTTAAGTTACCACCCCCTTTTTTCAACACCTCTTTCTGTCTTGATTTCAGGGAACAGTCATCATCATCGCCAACCACGGAGACCGAATAGACATACCCTCTGGTTCTGTTTTGGAGAACAAGATCATTTCGGGAAATCTACGCATTCTCGACCACTGAAAATGATGATATATGGATTGGTACTCTAAGTAAATATACAATAATGTGTATTGGGTTCGTTTTTTTTCAAGTCCTAGCGAGGGAAATGTGTATTTAAGATGGATACGTCTATACGTGTGTGTGTGTGTTTAGAGGGAGAGAGGGAGGGAGGGAGGGAGGAGAGGGAGGGAGGGGAGGGAGGGAGGGAGGGAGGGAGGGGAGGGAGTGAGGGATGAGAGAGAGAGAGAAAGAGAGAAGAGAGCAGAAGAGAGAGAGAGAGAGAGAGAGAAGAGAGAGAGAAGAGATAGAGAGGAGAGAGAGAGAGAGAGAGAGAGAGAGAGAGAAGAGAGAGAGAGAGAGAGAGAGAGAGAAGAGAGAGAGAGAGAGAGAGAGAGAGAGAGAGAGAGAAGATAGATAGATAGAGAAGATAGAGAAGAGAGAGAGAGAGAGAGAGAGAGAGAGAGAGAGAGAGAGAGAAGAGAGAGAGAGAGAGAGAGAGAGAGAGAGAGAGAGAGAGAGAGAGCGAGAGATAGATAGATAGAGGAGAGAGAGAGAGAGAGAGAGAGAGAGAGAGAGAGAGAGGAGAGAGAGAGAGAGAGAGAGAGAGAGAGAGAGAGAGAGAGAGAGAGAGAGAGAGAAGAGAGATAAAGATAGAGAGATAGATAGATAGATAGATAGAGAGGGGGGGAGAAAGGAATTTTACACACAAGAAAGGCTTATCTCCTACGCTTTGATAATGCTTATCACTTCCCTTATCAAAACCACTTTCGTATTCTTGTTCGTCACTCTTAACAGGTATTTTTCTGCTCTCCAAAAATTGAGGAAAATAGTCTCTTTATTACAGCTACTACAGACTATTATAACCTTTTAAAGTAGCATTTTTGACTAGTGGTATCGCTCAGATGCGATTCTTCGTAGCCTATTGTCATGGAAGCGTGTACGTATATGTGTACATACATGTAAATATGTGTTTATATAATATATGTACATTTCACACATTCACACACACACAGACACATCCGCACACACACACACACACACACACACACACTAACACACCACAGACACACAACACACTACACACACACACACACACAACATATTCACACCACACACGCACACTAACACACACACAACACACACACAAACATCTTGTACGTATATGTGTACATACATGTATGTGTGTATATCATATATATACATATTCACACCCACCCACACAACCACACACACACACGTACACACACACGTACACACACACACACACACAACACACACGCACACACACACAACACACATTCACATCCCCCCCAACACACACGCTCACACACACACACTCACATCCACACACACACAAGGTCTATCTAAGTACTTTTATAGACCTTGCACACACACACAAACAATATATAAATGTATTTACGTGTCTGTGTCATTGTGTGAACGCATAATTCCATGTGGTCTAATCACCAACATACATACCCAACATTCCACATAATCCTCCTTTGTATGCTTTTGTCTGCAGTATCTTCCCATACCCCGCAGTTGCGCCGAAAGAGCACCATAATGGAAGCGCGCTGTGCATGTAAGAGAAAAAAAAAGGTACGGGGTATTTAGATAGCCTTGAATCCCCCCCCCTCCTACCCACCCATCTAGAACCCCCATCCCTCTCCGTGACCCATCCCCCTCTCCCGTGTCACCCTACAACCCGACCATGCCATCCACCCCCCCCATCCACACCCACCCTACCCCGTGTTCATCCACCTCCCACCCACCCATCCACACCCTCCCCCCCCCGTCCCTGCCCCCCCCATCCACACCCCACCCTACTCCGTGATCACACTCCCACCCCCCACCCCTCCACCCCTCCCGTCCCCCTCACCCCCACATCCACTCCCTCCCCGTGCACCCCCCCCCACCCATCCACACCCCAACCCTCCCCCTATTCTATTCACGCTTAGCTCCACTTAATCCTTATTCTATTCTTATTAATTATTACTATTATCAATATTATCATTATTTTTCTTTTTATTAAATATTCTTATTCTTATTCTTATTAATCTTATTCCACGTTAACAAGCGAACCACTTGCTAACAATACGTAGTTAGGAACAAGCTTTTAATCTTGTTAAGAAAAAAAGCTCTAGTTTAGCTGTGATTTCGACGCAATAAGACTCAATTTCATAACAAATACACTGCAGTAACATACCTATGAGTTCAAAACTATGCTTTAGATATGTCAGTTTATCAATTATAACTTTTATCGTTATACATTCAGTAAAGAACTTAGTGAACTTGTGGCAGGTAACGAGACTAAACTTTTTTAAAATTATGATAAAGGCTTATATAAATTTTATGTAAATGGGATAATTAGACATTTTTCCTTATTAAAGTTATTCTATCTTTGTTTCTTTCTCTCTTTTTTTTATTCCCCTTGTTTCTCTTTCCTATAATTTATCAATTTTCTCAATTTTCCTATTTTTACGAGGAAAAATCCTACATTTTCTTTAATTAAGTCTAAATTTCCCATTTTCTATTACATTTCCTCGCATTTCTCTACCATTCCTTTCTTCTTTCTTCTTATTCTTGCATTCGTTCTCTTCTCTTCTCTCCTCCTCCTCCTTCGCACCTCCGGCCTTGGTGACAACAGGCAGCTTAAAAGGGAAGAAAAAGACGAAAATGAATCAAGAAAAAAATAAAAAGATCGAGAAATTAATTTAAATGTGCTCACTCCCACACGTATCTGTAAAAATTCTTTATGTAAATTCAATTAGATATACATATTTCCTTTTGAAAGTAATGTAATGGTTGCAGGTATATATAAACATACGTACAGACATACACACACATAAACACACTCATGCGCACATATAATTGTGTGTGTGTGTGTGTGTGTGTGTGTGTGTGTGCTATATATGTACACAATGTGATCATCTCTATAGTAACATATTTATACATTGATGCATAAACATAGTATGAGAGAGAGAAAGAGAAGAGAAGAAAGAAAAAGAAAGAGAAAGAGAGGGAGGAAGGAGGGAGAGAGGGAGAGAGGGAGGGAGGGGAGAGAGAGGGAGGGAGAGAGACAGGGAGAGAGAGAGAGAGAGAGAGAGAGAGAGAGAGAGAGAGAGAGAGAGAGAGAGAGGAGAGAGAGAGAGAGAGAGAGAGAGAGAGAGAGAGAGAGAGAGAGAGAGAGAAGCGAGGAGGGAGAGGGAGAGAGAGATAAAGATAGATAGAGAGATAGATATAGAGAGAGAGAGAGAGGAGAAGGATAAAAACATTATTTATTATCTGAATAATCAATATCCGCCACCATTACCCAGAGAAAGAGAAAAGAGAGATAGATAGACGAGAGAGAAAAAAAACAAAAAACAAAGAGAGAGAGAGGAAAAAAATTATCTGGTGATCAATACCAATAAATAGAGGAAGAAAGAACTGAAAGAAAGGACAAAGAAAAAATCTGAAAAGATAAAACGGAAAGATAGAAAAAATGAATGAAGGAAGGAATAAGGGAGAGAGAAAGATCGAGAAAGAAAGAACGAAAATGGAAAGAAGGGAATATAATAAAATAGATTAACAAAGAAGTAAGAAAATTAGATAGATGGTAAAGAAAAGCAAAGAAAAAGAGAAAAGAAAAATCGAAAGAAAGAAAAGAAAGAAAGAGAAAGAATAAAGAAAGAAAGAAAGAAAAAATATCAAGTGAAAGAAGGACTTAAGAAAGAAAGATCGAGTAAAGAAAGAGAGAGAGAGAAAGAAAACAATGGAAAGAGAGAAAGAAAGAAGAGAAAAAAGGGTAAGAAAGAGAAATGAATAAAAGAAATGAAAGAAAATAAAGAGAAAGAGAAAAAGAAACAAGAAAAAAAGGAAGGAAAGAAAGAAAGAGAAATGAATAAAAGGACAAAAAGAAATAAAAAGAAAAAAAGAAAAAGAAGAAAAAAGGTTAAGAAAAAAAAAGAATCAGAAAGAAAAAGAATAAAAAAAATAAAAGAATAAAAAAAAGAAACGAATCAGAATCAAAAGAATCAGAAAAGAAGAAGAAGAAGACGAAGAAATAAACAAAAAAGAAGGAAAAGAATAGAAAGAAAAGAATAAAAAAAATAAAAGAGTAAATAAAAAACCCGAAATCAGAATAAAGAATCAGAAAAGAATAGAAAAGAAGAAGAGAAGAAAGAAGAAGACGAAA